ACATAGAATTCTTTTTGATACCTGGTCCCATCATTATTATGAATACATTTCGCTCCAAATCAGAATCTTTACCATGCATTGTACCAACACCACCATGATTAGTTGTGAGTACCAACAAACAATCTTTTAACCATCCTTTTCAATATATAACAGATAAAATTTCACCGATCTGTTTATCTATTTTTTCTAATTGTTCATAGTATTTCTCAGAATTGAATTCGTAATAATGTCCGGCTTCATCAACATCTGTAAGATGAATAACAAAAAGACTAATATTTGCGAATTCATCTGTCGAAATAATCTCTTTAAATTTATTCACAACATATTCATCATGCTTAAAAACCCCACGTTCATGTTTTGTTTTTAACATCTCTACATGATATAAATTCTCATCTTCTAATGGTGTGTATGTGAAAATAGAATCAACAACATTCTTTTCAAGAAGTCCAGAATGGAAATATTGCCATCCAACTAAAGAAATGACTCGTTTCCCAGTATCTATCAATAGTTTGTATATGCTTGAATATATGCTATCGTTAATATAATTTCCTTTCTCAATATCACTGTTATCAAAACTAAACTTATCCCTATCAATACCATAAAGTATCGATCCCCAATTTTGCCCACTATCGGTTGGTAAGATTGCTTTTGCTTCAAAGCATAAAAATCCGTTTTAATTATATTATTAATATTAGGTATTTCTTTTATTTTAATATTGCGTTCTAACCCATCTAAAGCAAAAAATATAACTGATTTGCACTTGGATCCAACAGATTCACGAAATTTAAGCTCATATTCCGAATAAACTCTTTCATTATAATCGAAATTTAATTACATGACATAAATGCCTGAGGAGTGAACTATTATTATAATAAATAAACTTTAGTTTATTCTAAAACTATAGTTAATTACAGTTTGATTTAGTCTATTTATTTTAATTGTAAATTATAGTTCACATCTTTATAAATGACACGTATATTAAATATAATACGCTTTGTAAGTTTAATAAATA